ACACACACACACACACACACACACACACACACACACACACACGTCACTTATATTTATGCACTGTATTTTGAGATCTGGATAGAGATGGAGAGGGGGGAGAATCCCGTCTTGAATGTCAAAGGTCAGACAGACGGCATGTGGAGGTTTTTAGCACAGATCAAGCAGACATCCCTCTCTCTCTCTCTGTGCACTCGTGGGTGACATAAAATGCAGGCAGGCTCTGAAAATAGGCCACTGCCAATGTGCGCCACCGCCGCCTAAAAGAAAGGGGTGAAGTCTAGATGGAAAAACACCGACACGGGGAGACGGGGGTGATTGGGTATCGTAAATGGTCTGATTGTGTGTTTACTCTGTGGGTCACTTTGTGCAGTGATAATCAGATATTCTCTTTTTCTTTTTGAATAAAAAGTGCTTGTTTGGTTTTTCAAAATAAAATAAATAAAACAGCAACAACAAACAGCTGCTCATATTTAACCAGAAGGTGGTGATGCTCCCAGATTGCTGATTTTTGCTGAAACTCATCAATAAAATAGGCAAATATTTGTTATAGAGTTAAAAAATCACTTGAGTTCATCATTGTTTTCCGGATATCTTAGAGATTAAAGTAATCACTAAAACAAATAAGTCTCAGAAAAACTGTCAATGTGTTTTTTTTTGTTTTTTTTTGTTTTTTTTCTTTTTGTTGATTCCTTTGTTGTTTAACGAAACGATTTATTGGCCGATCGTCCTCGCACTCGTCTGAGTTTGTTTCTTTGCTTTCAGTGGTGGGTTTGGACATCCAAGATGAGATGGGACGCCACGAGGTCGGTCACATAGAGAACTCCATGAAGATTCCCCTCAACCAGGGTGACGGTTGTCGCTTTGAGGGAGAGTTCAGCATCAACAAAGTAAGACCTCACCTGAGAGTGCGAGAAGCCTAATCCATACATGCTGTGTGAATCACTTATACTACTGCTTCCCTTCAGGAAATTGCAAAACTCTGCTTTTCTGTGCCCAGTAGTTACACTGTGATGGACTGGGTCGGGCTGATATTTGTATTTTACTGACAAGCAAGCTTGGATTGAATGTCAGTTTGTATATTTGAGTTGGACTCGAGTTAAAAATGGAGATTGCCCCCACCAACCTCTTGGGTCTAAATTGAGTTACGCTAAATTGAGGGTGCTCTTGGATTTAGTTACACCTATCCGTATAATCTAGGCTCCATGAAGCTGTGTTTGTCTCACGTCTGCATCTTGTGCGTCAGTCTTTCCACTGCATTTACAGTGATTAACCCTGCAGTTGAACAATTGACACTCATGCTTGGGGGAGTAGTTGGAAATATGTAAAACACGCGCGGTTGGGAGGCAAGGAACATTTAGTTTCCAACCAAATGCATTCAGGCTCCCTCATTAGCTAACTAAATGTCTTGCAGGTGCTTGTGGTGTTAGGCACAAACCCACCTCAATGTGTTTATTTGTGTTCAGGTACCGGGAAACTTCCACGTGTCGACACATAGTGCCACAGCACAGCCTCAAAGCCCTGACATGACCCACACCATCCACAAGCTTGCCTTTGGAGAAAAGCTCCAGGTGGGACACATTTTTTATTTTTATTTTTTTAGATGGAGAAAGTGGAAAAGAATATCTGCAATATGAACACAGATCTTTTCTCTCTTCATTGTCACACAGGTACAGAAAGTCCAAGGAGCCTTTAATGCTTTAGGAGGGGCAGACAAGATGTCATCTAATCGTATGTATCTAGACAGCAAATGTAATAATTATGACCAACTTATGACAGTGCTTACGTACACCATATTGCCAGAAGTATTCCCTTGTCTGCCTTCACACACACATGAAGTTGAGTGTCATCATATTCTTAATCCATCGGGTTTTATATGCTGCCCCACCGTTTACAGCTTTAAATCTTCTGGGAAGTTTCCACGAAGTTTAGAAGTGTGTTTATGGGAGTTTTTGACCAGAAGCACATTTGTGAGGTCAGACACGGATGTTGGACAAGAAGGCCTGGCTCACAGTCTCCGCTCTTAATTCATCCTGTTCTGTTAGATTGAGTTCAGGACTCTGTGCAGGCCAGTCAAGTTCTTCACACATCAAACTTGCTCATCCATTTCTTTATGGACCTTGTTTTGCACACTGGTACGCAGTCTTATTGGAACAGGAAGGGGCCCTTAGTTCTTAATAGAACTTAAGGGGCTGAGCCCAACTACCGAAAAACAACCCTGAGCCATAATCCCCTCTTCATTAGACTTTACGCTTGGCACGGTGCTGTCAGACAAGTACTGTTCTCCTGGCACAAAAACCCAGACTCGTCCATCAGATTGCCAGAGTCGTCACTCCAGAAAACAAGTCTTCACTGCTCTAGAGTCCAGTGGTGACGTGCTTTACATTACTGCATCCAATGCTTTGCATTGAGCTTGGTGATGTAAGACTTTCATGTGGTTTCTTTGCCATGCAAACCCATTCTATGAAGCTCCCTACACACTGCTGTTGAGCTAATCTGAAGTCCACATGAAGTTTGGGGGTTTGTAGCGATTGACTCTGCAGAAAGTTGGCGACCTTACAAGGTGCTTCATGGTTGATTGCTTATGATTTCCGCTTTGTTATAATACCACTAACAGCTGACTCTGGACTATTTAGTAGTGAGGGAATTTCACGACTGGACTTATTGCAAAGGCAACATCCTATCAAGGTACCACACTTGAATTCACTGAGCGACCGATTTTTAAAATATGTTTGTATAACATTAAAGGTGATTGATTTTATACAACTATGACTGTGGGAGTGATTGGAACACCTGAATTCAATGGTTGGTAGGTGAGTGAATACCTTTGGCAATGTAGCTTAGGATGATGTAATGTCACAAGACACTCACTGGACAGAACTACATGGGAACTTGTTTTACAAAGACAGCATTCATCTTGAATACTGAAGATGCTTTGTTTGTCTTATTTAATTAATGTTATGTCTCTTGCAGCTCTTGCTTCACATGACTACATATTGAAGATTGTACCAACAGTGTATGAAGACCTCTCAGGCAGACAGAGGTTCTCTTATCAGTACACAGTAGCCAATAAGGTACCGCATCCCTGCACTCATTAGCTGATGACCTTTTCTCATCATAGAGGCAGCGCATCCATGTCGGCATACGGCCGGAGCACGTATAGCTCGTGTTAACATTGCACTCATCTGAAAGTGAAAGCTCAATCCTAGTGACTGGAAAAACTCTCAAGATGTCAACAAACCATAAAGGAAAAAAAGAAAAAACACTTCCTGGAACTGTGTAGGAAGACAGCTGGGAGTGGAGTGTGGAATAATAACACTGCAGGTCAGCTGTGAAGAAGGGACAATAAGGGCCTGAGCAAAATATTTCCAAAACCTAATTTCCGAAGTGTAAATAGTGGTCCAGCTGAGGCCCGCATCCGAGCTTGGACTGCGACATTCTTCTGCGTTGTGTTAAATGTGTTTAATGTGGTCAACATTATTGTGTCGGGCAGTTACTGCAGCACTGATTTTGGAGAAATGGATTTATATATACCGCCTGATAACGTTGTCAGCTCGTAACAATAATTCAATTTACATTGTAGCCTCCTCGAGATTGCTTCATTGGAATAATATTCAGCTGAGATTCATTTTTATTGAATCATTTATGACTGTGGAGTGACTTATTCCGAAACTGATTCTGTAGTGACTCACAAACACCACTGCCACCACTGTAGATGAGAATATGTGCTGATTTATTTTATAAACGTAATGGGATTAAGTTCCTCACTTGTAATCTTTTTTTTTTTTTTTTTTCCCCCCCACACACAGGAATATGTTGCTTACAGCCACACGGGAAGAATTATCCCAGCGATCTGGTTCAGGTACGATCTCAGTCCGATCACAGTGAAGTACACGGAGCGGAGACAGCCCCTCTACCGCTTCATCACAACAGTGAGTAAACACAAAGCCCGCGGCCCCAAAGCTGTTTACAAAAGCCGCTTTTATTTGAATTGCAGGTCTTTCAAGTTCAAGTCCAAAGATCAACTTTTTACTATCCTGTGCAAAAGTCTTGAACCACACCTTATTTCATTATATTTTGCTTTCAATGAGCCAGATATTCTTGAATTGTTTTTAAAGGGCTTAAGTAATAATTTTCCAGCTTTTCTGAAAGTCTTTCACAGTTTTCCTCTGGACTTTGGCTGCTTTTTCACTCATTTTCAGTCGTGTACGTGACCTTTTCTGTTTGTTTGTTATGCCACCTATGAATCATTCAAGGATAGAAAAGGCACCTGACTCAGTGAATGAACTAGTGTTGTGTTTACACATAACGGACAACTCGGCAAATAACATATTTTAAATCGTATCTTTAGGCACTTTGTTTTTATCACAAAAGCACCTTTATTCCAGTTTCTTTAGTTAAGTCTATGAAAAATGTCAAAGATAACAGTTTTTATGCCGTGTAGCATACAATAGGATTTGCGCAACAACAAAGTGATTCCCAAAGAGCTGGAGACTTAAAAAAAATGAGAAAACTGTAGAAATAGATGACAGCAGAAGACGTGTCAGGCATGTTCTGAAGAAATTGACCTGAGAGATGCATCTGGCCCTTCAGTTGATTCATCTGCTGTTCGCTAAAGTTGAATTAAAATTTGATCTCAGTGTAAGGGTAGCGGCCAAGAAGCCGTTCTTAAGGAAGGGAAATGAGGAGAAAAATTCGTGCATTTTAGCTAAATATCTCAGCTTTGTGATTGAACATCTTCACTGCCCAGTAACAGATAGAAAATAAGCCGTTCAAATGTTTGCTAACATGGTTAAGAATAATGCTGCTGGGTTGATCTCTGATCAAAGCCTGGGTAGCCGTTCCCTCCTTTTTCTAGTTTTTGTGCTAACCAAAGTCTAACCATCTTCTGAATGAAGCTTTCGTGTTGTTGGTATGAAACTTAATGACCATTTCCTAACTCACTGAACTCCCTTTGTCTTCCTCAACTCCCTTTGTCATCGGTGGAATTTTGGCGTAGCCTGTAGCACCTCATCAGAAAGTTTCCTGTTGACTGATAATGCGGTCAGGCTTGAGTTGGCAGCCTGCCTGATGAGCTACACCATTATTCGTCTTGTGTGTTGTTTAGGTTTATCATGACTTAAGGCATGGGTAGGAGATGACTGTGTTTTTAATGTGATCATGAGTCACGGCTCAAGATTGTGAGTCAGCCTACAGCAGGGCTTTTTGTTGGATTCCTATAAATTCCGTGGCGTTGGCGCAGAGCATTGTTTTGATAAATAGGATTAGGCCCAGCTGATATTGAGACTTAAGAAGAAGACATCAAAGCTCTGAAATATGAAGCCTGACAGGATCGTTTTTTCATTTTCTTTCTTTTTTTTTTGTAGATTTGTGCCATCGTCGGAGGGACGTTCACAGTCGCGGGGATCATCGACTCCTGTATTTTCACTGCTTCTGAGGCCTGGAAGAAGATACAGATTGGCAAAATGTCATGATGACTGTTTCCAACCCTCTCCTCACATCTTATTTATAAGTGCAAAGTTGCTAGCCTGTTAGCTAAATCCAGTCCGAAACGACCTCCTTCAGGAGATTGTATCACCTTGTCCATATAAGAGTCTCGGGCACTTGATTTAACTACCAGGCTGCAGGGATGCGTCTGTTTTATTAAAGATCCTCTCGGGCTCCTTCTGCTCCAATGACGTGAGAATGCTGACTATCACATGTCGGCTTCCTCCATCTTCAGTGTCAGGAGGGGAAAGGAGAGGAGATGATATCTTTTGTTACTGAGTGTGCCAGGGATTCATCCTGTATTTTTTTTTTTTTCTTTAAACGTTGCAGCTGATATATTTAGAATGACACGAAAGAATAATAATAGACATCCACATATATTAAATCAAAGGAACATTTTTTTAATCATGGGTATAGGAAATGATATAATTCAGGGAGTAAATGGCATCAAAACAGGATCATCTCAGCCAGATGTGTTGTAAATTAGGAGACCAATTTAGATTTTTGGTCCTCGTGTGAAGGAAGTATTGTCAGGGTTCATAAAACGTGCAGAGGACGGGATGAAATCTAAAGCGTAGTGTGTACAAATAGCATTTTGTGTCATGTAGCGTGGTCTGTCGTTTTTATCTCCAGTATTCCACCTGTGTGCCTTTTGGCTTACTGTTAAACCGTACAGGATCATCACCAGCTCTCTTTGTGCCACTGAAAGCTTTTCAGTTTCTCCTGCTTGTTTCAGTATCGGTGCAGCATTTATCATTGTTTACTTTACAGTCTCTAGTTTCCACTTTATTTCTACTCAGTCTCAGTGATGGCAAAAATATAGTGAATGTCTGTGTTTGTTTGTTTTTCTATTCTTTTTTTTTTTGTTTGTTTATTTACATGGTACATGATTTTTTTCAAAAATGAATTTTGGTGTAGTTTCAATAAAGGTTTGTTTTTAAAAGGGAAAAACCTGTTCATCAGGGCGTCTGCTTCCTTTTATTTTGTTGTCATTACAACACTCCCTGTTATGTCAGTGATCATCGCTGAGTTAAAAGCACCTTAAAACCTGTTTTTCTACTCTGAGTACCATCCTTTTCTCTTTAACGCTCAAATTACTGTAATCCCTGCGCTGTCCTCAGAGGTTACGATAAAGGTTACTCTGGTATGATTCGTGTTTCCAAAAAAACCTCAAAGTGATCTGTGAACGAGTTTTGGCTTTAAAATTTTTAGGTGTCTTTTTATTTCTTTTAGCTTCTTTAAACTGCAAGAAATGTATTTGTAATAAAAAGTCAAATTATGAAGGCCAGATTATGACTTTTTACCTGAACAACATGGTAACGATTATTCTTAGAAGCTGAAAGTGGCACCTTTGTGTCTCTGACTTTGTGACATTTACAGCTAGGAGAGTGTGCGTATACAAAGTGGACTTTGCACCAAGCCGGTTCTCATTTCTCTCAGCTGGCAGCCTGGGACAACACCCTGCAGGCTGTCATTTGTGATGTGAGCTTGTAAGAGGGCGTTAAGCTGTTACAGCTATCATCGTGCAAGCGTCCAGCTCTGATAAAGGTGCTTACCGTGAGTCACTCCTTTTATTCCCCCTCCATCCCTCTGTTTACTTCCATCACTTATTACTTGTTAGCAATGTTGTGAGTCTAAGTGTGTCCACCTCCACTGAATGACACAGATGCCACAAATATCTGTTTACTTCGCTGACTAAATCACAGATCTTGTGGCTCTTTCTCATTGTGGGCCAAAACACAAATTGACACTTTACTCCACTGAAGTACAGCTTTTACGACAGATCCAACTCTAAATTCATATTCATCATTGGGGAAAAAACAAGCAGAAGGAGATAAAATTCTTTATTTCCTCTTGTATGAGTCATAATTTGCACAAATAAAGAAAGAATTCTCTGCATATAAAAGATAAAAATATATATATGTGTGTGACTAGAAAATACTTGTGGTTTGTTTTTGTCATAATGCTGCCACGCAGTGGCTGGTTAGAGGAACTTCAGGCACATGTAGCTCAGTCCATTTGTTGAGGCAACAGTCTGAGAGAGGAAGGATTTCGAGATGAGAAAGTAATCATGAGAATCTAAAACCTGATCTTCAATATAAAAAAAAAAAAAGACTAGTTACATGTCAATACTGAGATGTTACTGCAAACCATCCTCAACCTCAGCTGTCTGTGTTAAACCCCTTTTTTATGCATCTTTGGTAAAATTACACATTCGAAGAGGCCGGGGAGGTGGTGTTCGGTGAGGAGTAGAAGTCACAGAAGCCCTCCTCGGACAGGTGTCCGTACTCGTTGTTGTAGAAGGTCTGACCTGACAGCTGGCTGAAGAAGTTGGGCCGGAGCCTGGAGCTGCCTGTGGCATGGCTTTGATCTGGGGAACTGTGGGAGGCTGTCAGAGGCTCCGTGCTGCTGCTACTGTTTATACGACTGAGGAAAGAAGGAAAAAAATTAGACTCCCAACTCAGGCTAAACAACTCAACTTTCTGTGAATTTTGATTGATACAATTCTCTATAACCTAGATAATCATTGCTGAACTCCCCTGCTTATTACCATGAGCTTATTATTGCAAGACAGTCCCGAATACACAAATCCCCAGCATGTACACTTACGAAATATTTGTGCAAAATGATGGAGCCCAGCTGCTTGAAGACATTATTAAGCAAACGACTTTCAGAGGCACCAAAGATACTGACACACTGATTTATTATACGTACTATATTATGTGTAAGAATGAATAATATATCCTCTAAAGAATGGGATAGTTTATTTATTTTTGACTCCTTTTTGATCAGAGCATCTGCTCACATAGGCTCCTCCTACACTTTACTGTAGGAGTAAGTTCTCCATAAAAACATGCTTTTTTCACTTTTAGTTTATGTTGGCTTTTTACAACATTGCAACTCTCAAAATGTTGCTAATACCCAGGTTTGAATGACTCAGACAGTTGTTTACTCCCACTTACCCATGCATAGATCGAGACTGCACTGATGCTTACTTCCTTTGCAAATCTAGTTTCGTTCCACATAAAGCAGCGGGTGACTATTCTGCAGTTTCCGAGCAAAAGAAAGCAAATGTTTTCTCGTATTGACTCTGAAACATGTGGAGCATAAAGGCATTCATTTCTAAAGTTTTTCTTTAACTCGACAGTCATTGTGCTGTTTCATGGTGAGAAATGAGTGTGTAGCGGTCCAAATGTCAGATGGTGTGACTAAACAGCTGGCTGCGTACGTCTAGTGCTTCGATTCCAGTTTTCACAGATATTCAGATTTTTGCTTTCATATCATTTAACCTTTTCAAGACAACACCCCCGTGGTTGTGCTCAATTCTCTCAAATTCTTCGGAGGCCAGAACCATCCCGCTGTCCGTCTGGTTGTCCTAGAGGAAAAAGACACAGGTTGACGCAGGTGCTACATCTGTCTCGACCAAGAACGACCATTTTTAGTAATAAACATAGGTGATAATGTCAAGAAAAGTCTAAAAAAGCTTTCAGAAAATGTCACCAGTCAGTTCACATTTTCCGATAGCTGATAAGAGGATAAGAAGCTTACTTGAGGAGGTTTCTGTGGATGCATCTCAAGAGGCAACTCTTCAAAGGTCTTCACTCTGGGCTGGCATATTTTGGACGGCCCCACGAACACACAGCCAGCAAAGGGCACACAATTATAATACCTGACCGAAAGACAGAGAAAAGGCAATGATCGCAAACAAACTTGAGCTGCATATTGCATTTCTATTTTTAATAATTGAAACACAAATTTCAGTTTACCAGCATTTTTTGGACATTAATTGGAATCTTTACACAGCTATTGGAATCATTATATGTTGTATTTATGATGCATTATGTTCATGACAAAAAGTGACAGTTTGATAAATCCAACAATAACAATCTGCTGTATCATTCATATCGTTTTATGGGGTCTGGTGGATAAAAGGGGATTGCTCTCTTGTACCTTGTGGGCATAGTGTTGCAAGCGAGTCTCAGTTCTTCCTCAGATGGCGGGCGCGAAGAGGCTTGAGAGAAACCATCATCTTCAGAGTTCTGTGAGTGGTTCAGGGGGATGTAGTCCTTCCCATCCTGAAGGAAACAAGAACAAGATCCAGACCCCAAGAAAGAAAAACTACAGAAGAAAGTTGGAGACATTATCTCTCCAGCAGAACTTACAGGTAGACTGTTGTCCTGCAGCAGGTCTCCCAGGATCTGGACCAAGGCGGGGAAGGTGGGCCTCTCTTTTGGCTCGCCCTGCCAGCAGGCCAGCATGATGCCATATCTACCAGCAGAGGGCAGCGCAGTCTTAACAAGAATAACAGCCTCAAATGCATCTACAAATGCCATCCTACATTGTTCCCTAGATGTGCAAATCAACTTAATGACATTAAAACGGAAGTCATTCTTCTAACTGGTTTACCCAGTTAAAGACATTAAGAGCAATATTTTCTTCCTGAAAGCAGAAGCATTTTTTTTCTCGAAGATGCGGAAAGAAAGAGAGAAACTAAATGCTTACATTTCAGGAGAGGCAGTCTCCGGTGCTCTCATCCTGACGCCCTCTTTCAATCGCTTGCAAAACTCTTCGTCAATCTGTACCCCCGGATACGGAGATGCACCTAAGAAAAGACCAACATCAACCACCACATTAGGAACAGGAAGACAAATGACTGAGTACTTGTATAATAGGGATGCTGATTCGTTCTGCTAGTAAAAGTTCATTGCTTTTGGCACCGGCTGACATTTATAGATATTTTCAATCACAAGAGACTGAGTTCTGCACAGATGACATAAAAGATGCGTGTGCATGTGTTATGTTTCCGACTTCTTACCGAGTGAAAAGATTTCCCAAAGGAGAACTCCAAAGGACCACACGTCACTCTGGCTGGTGTACACTTTGTCAAAGATGCTCTCTGGGGCCATCCACTTCAAAGGGAGGCGAGCCTGAGAGAACATTAAAACAGATATGACAGGCAGATAAAACACAGCTGAGACTCGCCATTAAAAGTAATCTTTATGTGGGTGGATAAAAAGAAATAATAACAATTAAAAAGTGTATTCTTTCCCGGGAAGCTAAAGTGGTGACATACGTTGCCTTTCCTGACGTAGTCGGGGTCTTTGTAAATGTCTCGGGCCAGCCCAAAATCACAGATCTTCACAATGTTGTTCTCTGACAGGAGGATGTTACGGGCGGCCAGGTCTCTGTGGATACACTGTGGATACACACAGGACCACGCATACATCATAACTCCGCAGACAGGTGTTTGAGTATGTGCGTGATTTTTAAGTGGTTGCATGCGCGGTGTCCGCCTTGTTTCCTCTGCGTAAGTG